CCTTACCTAAGTATGAGATAAAAGTTCTGTGCCACATTTAACTAGGACATGAGTACTCTTTATTCTGTTCCCCCTGTGTCTTTTTCTGGGGGTGGGAGAGGAATAGCATTGGACAATTATAGACAACTATGTATCTGTGACAGAGCGTCTTGCCCTGCACTGACCCTGCAGGGATTAACTCCACCCTAAGGGCCATGGAGGCCACGCCTCCTCGACCCTGCTGGGCGTGCTCCAGCTGGAAGCCAGGTATAAAAGGGAGCAGCTTGGCTCAGTTGAGGTTGACCACTGAGGAATGAGGAAGATGCTCTACCTGGAAGCTGTGGAAGCCCCAGACCATGAAAGTCAGAGGCACCAAGATCCTGGTTGATACCCAGGTACCTGCAGACCCCCAAAGAAGGTTGGAGCTACCAGGAGCCGAACAGGCTAAGGGGCCCAAAGAAACCAGACCACTGCATCAGGGATAGGAAGTAGCTCATGGGACTAGTCATTGCACTGGGTGGCATCAGCACGTTTCGATCAGATCCCCACCGACTGAGTGACGAGCACGCTCGCCCCTGCCAGGGCCCTGCTCTGGGACCAAGTGGTGTAGGGAGGGCCCAGGTCCCCCTTTCCCAACCACCATGCACCCCAGGTGGTGACCCACTTCCCTGACTGGCCACTAGGACACGCACTCCTGCTGAGGTGGGCAGCCTTATTGGCTCTGGCTGTTAGGCCACACAGCCCCGAAGGAGAGGGCAGCCACCTTTGACTGTGGATGTTGGGCCAAAGCACCCTGAGACTAAGGCGGATTGGGCAGATTTAGTTGCAAGGCTATAACAACCTTTACCCCACCCCATAAGGGGATGGGGCATGCTTGCCCTGCAACAGTATCAATGGCTTTTCCTGAATGTGTTCTTATAATCAGTGCCCTTTGCAGCCTTCTCCCCCAGTCCTAGCACTAGTAAATTATTATGTGTCACTCTCTTAAAAACTTTTCTAATGTTATATTAGAAACAACTTTGTCTTCTAGTAGACCCTTCAAGTGGAGTTCAACCTGTTGAATCCAGATTAGGTTTGTTTAGTAGTGCCCATTGATAATTTTGCCAGTACATTTAGATGATAAGAAATTCTGAATTGCAAAAAGAAAAAAAGAGCTTAAGAACTAACTGGTCTAATTATTTAGAGAGAGTGGATCAGACTTTGCACTCTGTTATACTAATTTTATGCCAATGTGACTCCATCGAAGTAAAAGGTATCACACTTATGTAATTGAGTGGTGAATCAGGCTCAGCATTTTTCTCCATTGCAAAATCAATGTTATGGAAAATGATATTAAAGTATAATTTCCATACTTCAGGGATTACCAGAAAATGACTCATGATAAACTGACTGCATTTCTGGAATTGGCATTACAACATAAATTTAGCCTCCCTTTTCAAATCCTTAAATATTTCAGACTATAATTTAAGAACATTTCCATTGTCTTCATTAATTCTTCTGGTAGTTTTGAAAATCCTTAATAGTAACTTTTACATCCACTATACATAAGTAAAGGATTATGCAGGCAGCCTGGAAGCAAAAAGATATTCTGGAATATAGGAGGCAGAGAAGAGGAGAAAATCCATATTCTTCCAGTTTTGCTAAGGCAATATAAGTGCAATATATGACATTGTTGCTTTTGGGTGATCTGAATTTACCTCATTAGGGATTAAATTGTCAGACTTTCTTCTTTGATAGATTACATGAGACCATGCTGTATATACTGTTGTCAAGATATTACTTATAGAACAGAATAAATAAGAGAAAAGCAGATCTGACCAATAAATAATTCAGATTGCAATAAGACTCATTGCTCCCTGAATATGAATAAGTTTAGCCTTTTTCCGCTGTACTGGTTCCATTGAATTTGTCAAATATAGGTGGAATTTTCACAAACACCTAAAATATTTAGGAGCACAAATCCCACAGGTGCTATAGAAAATCCCGCCCATTATTAACATGTAGGAGTAAACTCAATACAGTGATTTATTTTAGTGTCATTTTATTAGTAGCATGCCTGGAGATGGCCAATTTGATAAATCTGAGAAAAAGAAAAGGAATCAAAAATAGAAAAAAGGTAGACATAATCAATGTCCATTTATTCATGTGTCACTTATGAACAAAAAAAAATTTCAAGTGTAGGTATATTTTAAACTGTGTTAGTATGACAGGAGAGTTTGTTTAATCTATAGATACATTTAAAAAGAAGAGTACAGCATATTTTCAAAGCAGAGTGGAAAAAGAGTGGAAGTTTGCAATCTGTGATCCGTGGATCACACTGGCAGTCTGGAGATCTTGCTGGCCAGCTGATCCTGGCCCCTCCTCCATGGCGAGTCGCATTAATGACCACTAAAACCACATGTGTTGCTGCTACTGATTTTCCATGTGAGTAATTGTAGTTGCCACAGGAATGGTATTTGATTTCTCAGGAAAAGTTAAGTAATTTGCAGAACTGGAAATGGGAGGGAAGATGGCCAATGAGGCAGTCTCTCTGTTGATATGTGGTCTACTCAAAAATGGGGGTATCCCTTGCATACCATTTTACTCTTCTAATCTCCATTAAGGGTCTGGTCTGAAATTCACTGAAGTAATCTGAAAGACCCCATTGGATGCAATACACTTTGGATCAGGCCCTACCTGAAAATTTGTTTCAATCTTTCAGACAAAACTTGAAATTATGAAACACAGTCAGCAAATAATGAGATTCCTGTACACTGTACATTTTGATTAATCACCTGTTTACCAGTTGCTCTTCACTCTAACCAATGAGTTAAGAGGTCATGGGTCTCTGGTTTATCCTAATTTTCTTCTTTTAACAATTCAATTTCATGTCACTTACTATAAGCACCTTACCTTCTCTATTATCCCAAGGATGGGAAGGAATAGCAGACCAATCTTCATGCATTAATTTATGATCGTCTTCAAGAATTGCCTTGTGCTTTCTCCTCCAGACATTCAACATTATTATTGAAAATTTCACTCCAGTTCGACACAAAACTAGTCAATAGTTCTTAGACTGCTACAATCTCTTTTATCTCAAAACAGCAAAAATACGATGCCTGGCCAATTCGCCACTGAGCAGTAGAACACAAGTATGTTTATTTCCCCATGGGCCTAGGTTGAGAATCAAGTAAGTTGCATCTTACCTGAATTTAATAAACATCAATAAACCCATAATTAATTACCAATATATAGTTACAGTTAATCTAGATGCCCTTGAGCATGTTTGTGTTTGCTTCTTATAAAAAACCTCCTGTTTTCCAACTGAAATAATGATAAGAAATCAGGATCAGCATTATTTCAAAACTTATTTATTTACAAGGGGATGGGGCCTATTCCCTCTGTCTGGCTTTTAATTATCATTTAAAAGGCTTTACTGATCACTGACAGCCCTTTTCTTGAACCTTTACTCACTGTGAATAGCACTGCACTCCTTAAATTGTTCCATTGAAACTGTGAGGGCTACTAGCTTGAGAGTTAGTACTCAGCAAAGTTACAAAGCCTGGCACAATTTGCCTTTAAGGAAATGACCACATTAAAATGAACAGTCATTTGATGCCGTTCTAGTAATATTTTATGTGCAATGCACAGCTCTGAAAAACACCCATATGACTTCCACTGAAATCAATAGAAATTGCATATGCTGTAAGTCAGAGTGCAGAATTGGGGCCTCGTGACAAGAGCTGAGTGAAAGTTTTCTTTCAAAACTTATTTCAGTGAAAAAATGCAGATTTGGTGAAACTGCAACATTTTGCAAATTTGTGTTGATTTTTGTCCAATTGTTCAGTTGGGGGAGGGGGAAAAGGAATCAAAATGTTACCTTTTGACATTTTCAATATAGAATGATTTGATTTTTTTTCTCTTGTAATGACTTTTGTTTCAACATTTCCTTAAAATGTTTTTGATTGTAAAATAATAATAATAATTAATAATAATGGTTGAAATCAAAACTAATGTTTCCGGTATTTGAAATTGCCAACTGACCAAAAAATCGGCTATTCACCCAGCTCTATGCATACTATGATTTGTAGAGGTGCTGAGCACCCCAGCTTCTGATTTATATTAATTGGACCTGCAGGTGCTTGGCAATCCTTAAAATCAGGCTACTAATCTCTCTCTGCCTCAGCATCTCCATCTGTAAAATGCACTTAGAACTGCCCTGCTTCCCAGGGATGTTGGAAGGGTTATGTCATTAATGTTTGGAAGGCATGTAGATACAAAGAAAATGAGCATCAATAGAAGGCCTGTGTATAACACAGGCAGGGAGACTAGGTACAGGAGGGAGAAGGGATGTCACAAAGCAGGTGACTGAACCCTGAAGTTTGAATTGCCTCTTGGAAATTTTGTGATTTTTGGTGGGGACAGGGTGTAAAGATTATGTCCAGAATTTTCATGAGTTTGTGCAAGAAAAATTGGCAGTTTAGACATCTAAAAATGGAATTTCAGGCTCTTCTGGGCATGTATAGCCTTTTCAAATGAGACATAATAGACACTGTGCACCAATATGGGAAGGAGGGATGGTAAAGGGGCACACTGGGGTGGTAAAGGGGCACACTTATGGGCATGGCCATTTCCCTCATATTTTAAAGAGTCCTAACAGGTGTCAAGTCTAGTTATAATTCAAGCACGACTGATTCACCAAGCATAAATTAACACATTCAGCTCAGCTGGCCACTCATTGGCTCACAGAGATGCACCTCCAGACCCTATTACACAGTGACTAAGAGGTCACCTAATACAACTGCCTGAGACATCTGTGTGATAACTTTTTGCAGCACTAAACCTACTATCCTATCACACATCTTATAGAACATTTGGCATCATAGGCTGATAGAACTTCCCACCTTCATCTTCTGTTTTGCTAGAGTCTCCACTATTATTTTAGGTCTGCTGGGTCTGTAGGTACCTCAGAGGAAGAGGGAAATTGCCAGTAATTTCTCTTAGTGAGCCCCGCTTCCCCTTTTAAAAGAGAGGCAATTTCATTGCCTCTTTCATCATCTAATCTAATGAGAAAAGTTCTGAAGTAGTTTAATGAATAATGGATTTTGCAACAATCATTCTATCTGGCTTTTTTTCAGAGGATTCTCTATAGAGCAAAAACACATGTTCCAGCTCATCTTCCCTCCTTTGTGGTAAGAAAGTTTTAATAAATTATCAAAATTAAGAAGAGGAAAGGACCATTTCTGTGTATGCCCAGCAAACAGGCAGAAAAGGAAGATTAGTGTGAAGAAAAAAGCACCTTTAGCAGTATTAAAGTACTCTGAAGTTCCTATAGACTCTCAATACAATAGACTACCTGCATAATAGACAGGCACTGAAAAGGTTACAATTACCATTGAATTCACTCTGGCTCAAAACATTTGTCTTGGGTATCTCTGAATGCTCAGATTCTGTATGTTGCATGGAAATGGAAAAACGCCAGCAATGATCTGGAAATCTTTCAGTGGAGGAACAAAGAAAATAGGGCCAGGTTGGGGCATTGATGCCTTAGCTTGTGTGGGAGGGTATGCAGGGGAGATTCCTCCAGTAGTGTCCAGTGGAGCGGGACATGCTACATCATCCTTAAAACGAGTTCCAATATTTGAACATGGCCTAGTGCCATGGGGATAGATGAATGACTTCTCAGGGCCAGCCAGTCAGTATTTTTCATGTTGAAATGTTCACTATGGAATTAGTGTTGGATCAGGAAGAGTTTGGAGCCTGACTCTACTGAGAAAGGGAAAAGATAGGCAGAATATCAGAAATATTTTCATAAGAAAGATATCTATTAAAGTGGAGAATAACCTCCCTCCCCCCACCCCATTAAAGTGGTGGAAGCCACCTCGCTCCTGGAGACTAGATAAATACTAGAGACTATCCTGCAATGGTACCGAGATGAACTGCACTTTTTCATCTTTAACTTCTCTGATACTCTGGAAATAGTGACTCATGCATATCTGAATATGGTGAAAATTCTGCATGCACTAAGAAGCAGTGACGGGAGATGATAAAGTTTGAAGATTAAGTTCCAAAAGTACTGAAAATTTTAGGGGGCTGTCCAAATCATATTAAAACTTATCCAAACCTCTTTGGTCTGGAAATTCCATAAGGATAGTTTTTCTCCTGGTATATTTGGTATCTCTACTTTCTTTCCTGGACAGAATCTTACAGCATAGAGGTGGCAAAAGACAGTGGTAATGGAAAAGTTTACTGAGCTTTTTAGAACATTAAGTTTAAAAATGAAATACTCAGATACTAAATGAAGGTTTAGGCAGGTTCTTTATTTTACCTGAACCATTCATCCATCCTATTAAGGAGAGGCAATGTTGGCAAATTGCCTTACCTGCAGGTTCCATAGCATGCTCATCAATATCTCTACCAGGAATGTTACATAAAGGTAATTCATTTATTGGCACATTTAACCCTCCCTATTTTATGCATAGCTTTGTCAAGGCTGATTGGAATCAAATCAGTCAAACAGTCAAATTTACTAATTTTAACAAGCAGCAGCCTCCGGTTACGCAGTTATCAGAACGCTGCCCTTTCCTAGCCCTCTGCAAGATGGATCAATGCAATTATCATCCATTGACTTATGGCAAGGAGCTATGAGTATTTTCACGTGAACTAAATTGAATGGGACACAAATCATCGACTTTGGAGTCAGCACCTGAAATATAGAAAATTTCAGTGGGAGTTGACAGGCAGTGAGGGAGGAAAACAGAACAGAATGTTGTTGATATTGCTGTGGACAAAAATCACTCAACCGTGGTGCAGGTTAATATTTGCCCTGTCACCCAGAGCAAGTAAAGCAGTGCTGTGTGATCTGCACTCTGCATGTCTGTTTTACTTATAGAAGTGTTTGCTTGTTCATTTTCATATTCTTTCCAGGGGGTAAGTGTTTCTCTGTTCATTTAACATGTAAGTTTTGTTAAATATAATCAGGTACACTGCAAGTATTACACCTGGTAATACTTCTTCTCTTCTTCTTTAATGCCCATCTGTCAGCTCAGCAGTGACAATAGGGCCAAATCTTTCCACCACTTTGTCTTGTATCAGTTTCACTGTTTCATTTATCTTTAAAACTTTTTGTTCTATGTCATGCTTCACCATGTCTATCCAATGGTTTTCCTTTTTTCTAGTTCCTTGCACTCTGATATGTATAAACATGATCCCCTTTCTCGGTCAATTTTTGACATGTTTCCAAGTCATCCAATCTTTCTTGAGTCTTCTCTAACAGCCATTTTCTTATCACTTCATTTTTGAAACTCTCAGTATGCCCTCTCAGCCAGTTCATTTCTGTGATCAGTAACTTCCATTCATTGGCTTTCTTCATACTCCAACATTCCGACCCACACAGTTTTCTTGTAAGATGCTGATTTTTTGGTTTTATCTAAATGTGTTTAGCCTTCCAGATCTTGCAGAGCTTTTTTCCCAAATGCAGTAGTGGCTAGTCTGATTCTTCTTTTTTATGTCATTTTCACAATTCCCATTCTTCAATACTAGTCCTCATGGGTATGCAAATTTTTCCACTTGTTCTAATTTTTCATCTCTGACATTGAACTTTACCTCTTCCTTCTGCCAGGAAGCTGTGGAGAAGCCGCCCAGAGACAACACCCCAGAGAAGGGACAACCGGATCGACAGGCTGCAGAAGCCTACTGATCCATGGGAGGTAGGAAGGAACTCATGGCACAGCAGATGTTGTTGAGGCCTAATTACACCTGCCTGGGTTAAGGGCCCTGAGCTGGACCCCAGTGGAGTGGGTGGGCCTGGGTTCCCTTACTGACCCCTGAGAGACTTAAGGCAGAGGTCCCCAAACTATGGGGTGTGCCCCCCTAGGAGGTGTGGAGGTAGGTTTGGGGGGAGTGCGTGGGTGTGGGGGGCCTAAGCCTCCCCTCATGGTGGGAGAGGAGGAAGCGCCAACCAGACCCACTCCACTCCCAGCTCTGCTCTGGCCTGGCCCCCAGCCATGGCTCCTGACCCGGCCCCAGCCCTGCTTCCCACCCCAGATCTGCCCCCAGCCTTGCCCCAGCCTTGCCCCCACCTTACCCCTGTCCATGTCCCTCCTCCTGGGAACTGTGGCCCTTCTCCCAGTTCTGGGGGGAAGGATGCAGATGAGTAAGGGTGGGGGGAAAGTTTGGGGACCAATGACATATGGACTGAAGGGATTTCCAGACTGACTGAATATCAGGACCAACTGCCCCACCAAGTATAACGGGAAAAACTGTACATCCCAGTGGACTGAAACTGGCACTCTTCATAGCCCAGAATGGGACTACCGTTGAGAATCAGGCAAAAGGAGCTGACTGACCTCAACAGGGGACTGAGTGAACTCTAGAGCGCTCCATATGACCAAAAGGGACGTGATAGCATTAACACTGCAATTCACATCTCTTTTGCCTGTGGGCAGAACTGTGTTGTATGACACAAAATATAGCAATGACATAATTAGACATGGATCCTACCAATATGACTTCAGATTTTTAATTCCACAAGATGCTGGAGGAGTGGGCAGTGGCTCAAGACCAGCTTTTTTGGTTCAGACTGTCTGAGACATGTGTGATGTTGCACCCCATAATGCTTTATAGAAATATGCTTATGAGTGTAAATATGACATAACTGGAATGTGTTTTATGCTAGATATGCCATGTAACATATCTTTGCAAAGGTTATGATCTACTGAATATATTCATCCTATTTGTATGCATGTATCATTTTTATATCTGAAGTTATGAGCATTGGCTCTATTCTTGTATTTAAAGTGTTTGCTGTAGGAAGCACATAAGGCAGATTGGGTCAACATAGTGTGAAGGGGTTATTCAAGTAATTGGGAGTACTTAACTAACAATGGACTTTGGGAGGACGCCAATCCACATCCGAGTTTTCCTGGGAACGTTCAAACTAACATGTGAACAATGGCGTCGGCCTGCAAAAAGCTGAATCATTCATAGACATGTGACTTGCCCAGGTGGCTAGAGACTCTATCTTGTGGCTCTGATGTTGCACAAGAGAAAGACTATATAAGGCCCTGGATACCCCAGCATTTTGTCTTCAGCTGGCTTAGAAGATAGCCTCTCCACCCCAAAGAGATGCCTGAAAGAAACTGGAACAAAGAACAGTAACTACGGAGGTGTGAGTGATTGCTGGACACAGACCAGGGGGAAGTCTAGTCTGTAAAAGAAGCTTATTGGAACATCTCTGAGGGTGAGATTTACCTGCATTTAGTTTCCTCCTGTATTAGGCTTAGACTTGCATGTTTTATTTTAGTTTGCTTGGTAACTTTCTTCGTTCTGTCTGTTATTACTCGGAACCACTTAAATTCTACTTTTTATATTTAATAAAATCACTTTTTACTTATTTATTAACCCAGAGCAAGTAATTAATTACTGGGGGAGCAAACAGCTGTGCATATCTCTCTATCAGTGTTACAGAGGGCGAACAATTTGAGTTTACTCTGTATAAGCTTTATGCAGAGTAAAACGGATTTATTTGGGGTTTGAACCCACTGGGAACTGGGTATCTGGGTGTTGGAGACAGGAGCACTTCCTAAGCTGTTTTCAGTTAAGCCTGCAGCTTTTGGGGGATGCAGTTCAGACCTGGGTCCGTGTTTGTAGCAGGCTAGTGTGTCTGGCTCACAAGGCAGGGTACTGAAGTCCCAAGCTGTCAGGGAAAATGGGCTCAGAGGTAGTCCCAGCACATCAGGTGGCAGTCCCAAGGGGGTATCTGTGACCCAACCCTTCACAACATGATTCTATAATGACAAGAGAGTGTTGGCTGCAAGACTGGGCTCTGTAGGTATTTCGAACATGAACCCAAAGTTCCTGGCTGTTAGGATCTGCAGTTCTGGTTGGATCCCATCTCCCATTATAGGACTAAATATAATATTTTACATATATAAGCTAGCTTTCATGCACAACATAAACTAATGCAAAAATTACATCTAGAAAAGTTATGCTATATTTCCTCTCCAAGCCATTTATTTTTCCCTTCTCCAAACTGCCAACAGTGAGAAATGTGGCAACACCTTAGCCTCATAGTCTCATCTACTATGTTGCATTATTCGCTCCTCTTTTTTCTAGTTATTGCACTTTACCAGAAACAAATGTTGGAAATGTAATACTCAAGTTGCCTTGAATGTTATAAAACTGCATGGCTGCTGAATTTCATTTGATTTTTTTTCCTTTAATTTTTAAAAGTCTTTTCTCTTAATAGTCCAAAGGTGAGTTAGCCCTGTAATGTATTCAGATTTGATAAGTGCAGTTTTGATTGCCAAGTGTCAACAGCTCTGATGTAGAAGCAGCAGTGGTAAATTAGAAAGACAGCAAGCATTGCCTGTACAAATAACATATGCAGAGTATACAATGTGAGACTTTTGTTTGACAGTGCTCAGAAAGATGTGATTAAATACTATTAAATCTTCAGTCTGGATATCAGGTATTCTAATACAAAATTATTAGTGCATAATGAGGGGTATTGAGAAATAAACCATGCAAATAAATCTGTGACTTTTTTTTAGAATTTTCACTCTTAACCTTCAGGCTACCATGGACTCTTGTCTGCTTCCTCCTTATCCCATCATTTCAAAAGTGGTATGAAAAAATAGCGGCTGCCTAAGGATTAACTTCAGAGCTTTTCAGTTTTTCTCTTTTCTGCTTCCCTTAAAGATGTTGAAAGCTTCTCACCCTTCCTCAATTACTCCAGGTCCACCTTTCTCCAGGCACCTTCATCCCATTGACCATTTTTACAGACCCTTCTAATATCTTTGGCTTTTACCTAAGGGCTGTATCCACCCAGGCCTTAAAGAAAACAGCTCTGTTGCAGATCCTGAAGAAAAACTGAACACAAGACTGCTTTCAGGCCTTTCATATGTTGAAAAAGCTAAGAATTGAGAAATGGATGTTTAAGGGTTTTCACAAGAAAACTGACACTGGCAGGCTTGATGCCAGCTCTTGCCAAGATTGCAGGCATTAGCAAAGAACTAACAAACTCATGGCTGGACACCAGACCAGTTCACCTGTACATTAGTTTTGCTCAAAATAGTATTAGTCTTATAAGAATGTTTTTTAGTGTTGTTTAGACTCCACAAAATGCTTGTAAATTGCTGCATGTGTTAATCTCACTTGTAATGTCTGTATTCCATACTATAAGAAAATATGAACACTTTGCTTTATAACTTTGAAAGTATTTGCTGTGAACTTAAGAACCCAGGCATGGGAATCATCCCTCCCCATCCCCTCTCGCCCTCCAATCCAGAAGGACTATCAAAATCAGATGGGCCATCAAAGAACATCACAACTGGTTATTGGGACTTTTGCACCTGAGAAATGCTAAGTTCAAGGAAGCTCATCCCGTGAACTTGGAGTTGAATGAAGGCAATAAAACAAAGTCACAGGAAAAATTTCCCTCTTTTTTGTTTTAACTCTGACAGGACTAGAGATACCTAGCTGAAGCCAGAGATCCCCAGGGGCTGCCCCAAAAGACACTTTGAATTGGCAGATCACTACAACTCTATCACTCTTAGGATTTTGATAACTCGTGTGTGTTTGCTTGCTTTAACCTGTAAATAACTCTCTTATTTCTTTTTCCTAGTTAATAAACCTTTGGAAAATGTATTACAGGATTGGCTACAGGCATAGTCTTTGGTTGAAGATCTAGGGTACCAACTGATTTGGAGTAAGTGATTGATCTCTTGGGACTGGACGCAACCTGAATGTGGTGTGATTTTTGTGAACATTTATTACTAAGTCCGGTTTGTCTGGGTGGCAAGATAGACTGGAGAGTTTAAGGGGACTGTCTGTGAGTAAGACTGTTACAGTGATCCAGGAGTTTACATGTGGTGTTGGCTTGGTGAAATATAATTCTAGAACACACCACCAATTTGAGGTGTCTGACCTGTTTTTGACAATCTGCCCTGAGGTGGGCACTCAGCGGTAGTGAGGTACTCCAGACAGCATGATAAAAGCCACCATAAGTATACAATGGCCCTGATTCTCAGTCAGTTTTTTCCTTCATTTTTCCATTCATTCAGTTTTTTCCTTCATGAAGATTAGCTTAGTCTCCTTTCCAGGTATACATCATCTAAACAATCTATGTTTAGGAAGAGAAGCAGTTAGTATCTTAAATTATAATAGCATTTCAATAGCTAATTAAAATTATTACAAGGAACATTTACATGTAATCTCTTGCCAGTGAACTGCTTGGTAATAGTGACCATGATATAATTAAAGTTAACATCCCTTTAGGAGGGGAAAACACCAAAGAAGTCCACCACGGTAATATTTAATTTCAGAAAGGGGAACTACACAAAAATGAGGAAGCTAATTAAACAGAAACTAAAGGTGCAGTCCCAAAAGTGAAATGCCTGCAATCTGCATGAAAACTTTTTAAAAACACTATAATAGAGGCTCAAATTATATGTGTAGCCAAAATTAAAAAACATAGTAAGAGGACAAAAAAGTAAAGAAGCTGTTAGAGGCAAACAGACATCCTTTAAAAATTGGAAGTTAAATCCTATTGAGGAAAATAAGGAGCATTACCTTTCACAAGTCAATGTAAAAGTATAATTAGGCAAGCCAAAAAGAATTTGAAGAGCAACTAGCCAAAGACTTAAAAAGTAACAGCAAAACATTTTTAAGTATATCAGGAGCAGGAAGACTGCTAAACAATCAGAGAGGACACTGGACAATAGAGGTGCTAAAGGAGCAGTCAAGGAAGGTAAGGCCATTACAGAGAAACTAAATGAATCATTTGCATTTGTCTTCACAGCAGAGGATGTGAGGAATATTCCCACACCTGAGCCATTCTTTTTAAGGTGAGAAATCTGAGGAATTCCATGAGGTTACAGAACAAATTAATTAATTAAACCAGTAATAAGTCACCAGAACCAGAGGGTATTCACCAAGAGATCGGAAGGAACTCAAATATGAAATTGAAGAACTACTAATTGTGGTATGCAACCTTTCATTTAAATCTACTTCTGTGCTAAATGACTAGAGGATAGCTAACGTGACATCCATTTTTTAAAAAGGCTCCAGAGGTGATCCTGGCCATGATAGGCAGATAAGCATAACATCAGTACCAGGCAAATTGGTTGAAACAATAGTAAAGAACAGAATGATCAGACACTTAGATGAACATGATTTGTTGTGGAAGAGTCAACATGGTTTTTGTCAAGGGAAATCACGCCTTACCAATCTGTTAGAATTCTTTGAGGGGATCAACAATCATGTAGACAAGAGTGATCCAGTAGATATAGTGTAATTAGACTCTCTGAAAGCCTTTAACAAGGTTGCTCACCAAGGGCTCTTCAGCAAAATAAGCAGTCATGGGATAAGAGGGAAGGTCTTCTCATGGATCAGCAACTGTTAAAAGATAGGAAACAAAGGGTAGGAATAAATGGTCAGTTTTCAGAATAGAGAGAGGTAAATAGTGATGGTCCCCCACGTGTCTATACTGGGAGCAGTGTTGTTCAACATATTCAAAAATGATCTTGAAAAAGGGGCAAACACTAACGTGGCAAAATTTGAAGATGATACAAAATTACTCAAGATAGTTAAGTCCAAAGTAGACTGCGAAGAGTTAAAAAGGAATCTCACAAAACTTGGTGACTGGGAAACAAAATGACAGATGAAATTCAATGTTGATAAATGCAAAGTAATGCACACTGGAAAACATAATCCAAATTGTACATACTAAATGATGGTATCTAAATTAGCTGTTACAACTCAAGAAAGATCTTGGAGTCATTGTGGATAGTTCTCCGAGAACATCAGCTCAATGTGCAATGGCAGTCAAAGCAAACAATCTTAAGAACCATTAGGAAAGGGATAGATAATAAGACAGACAATCAGGGCTCTGGAGCAGAACCCGGAGCTGGAGTGCGGAGCAGCTCTGGAGTAGTGGAGCTGCAGGTTTTTGCCTGGAGCTGGAGCGGAGCCAGAGCACAGCTCCAAAGCCCTGCAGACAATATCACAATGCTTCTATAAAATTCCATGGTACATCTACTAAGAGCTGCCACATACTGGTCTGAGAAAACAAAGCCTCAGAAAAATTCCCAGGAGCAACAGGAAAGTTGATTCCAGTAGCTATAAAGACATGAGTGGTTTTAACTACATTGTAGTCAGTATGGAATAGAAATGACTGAGGGCTTAACTGGTACAGGCTTAGTCCCCAACCCTGGGCCCAATATGCCACAAGAGTCTGGGAGAGAATTTCTTGGTGCAGGCGTAGTGTCAGATCAACATAATCTGCCCTAGGATACCCCTCCTCAGAGCCTTGGTGTATAGGTGAGGGCAGGGACATGTCGGGGATGGGATGTTAGTCTCAGTAATGCAATGCAGTTCCCTAGGAAAATTCTGGGCTGCTA